TGGACCCAAATCCTCATTTCAGGGTTGCATGTATGAATCACTTCTGTGTGTATCCACCACATCAGCATCATGAGGTGACTTTGGGTCTTCTTTGGAGAACATTTAGCTGTCTGCAGAAGTCAGGTAAAAAAAAAAAAAAATTACCCTCAATCTTTGCATCCACGTTCCTTAAAACTTTTGGAATGTCTCCTCCATTCCTTTCAGTAAGTATTTAATCTCTTACCACCATAAAGAGTTTTTCTGTGTGTTGTAAAGTATACCCAGATGAACAAAGCAGAGTTCTAGCCTCAAGGATGTTAACTCTTGAGAATAGAATGTGAAACATGGAGGAAGACAAGAAACTTACATTTAAAGATTCAGACCACGAAAAAATGATGTGGAAATTCCAAGGAGAGGGACTACTTCTAAATGACTAGTATTTAGTCACCACTCAGAGTCACTCTTCAAGTTTTCTAATGCTAATCTGTTTGGTTGAAAACATTCATTCTTTTCTAAACACTATTCTGCCTCACAGGTCATCCTAAATATGGTGGGGGGTGATACAGCATGAAGGGTGACCAGTTCAATACTAAAAGGCAAAGCATCTTTTCATAGACGTCCTAAGTGACTGTTCCATCTGTGCAGTAAGGTACCACACGTCCAGGTGAACCTGGGATGCTTCCTTATCCCTTGATCACATCAAGCATGTTCCTACCTCAAGCCCTTCACTCTGAATATTCTTTCCACTTAGAAAACCTTTATCCCAAATAGCTGCATGTCTCACTCCTTCAGATCCTTAAGCTCCCTCTGCTTAAGGCCTTCCCTGACTACCCTACATAAAATAACATTACCCTATGTAATGTCCCACCCTATTGCTTTCTCTGTTTTAGTCTTCATAGCTTGTACCACCTGACATATTATATACTTGCTTATCTATTTTTCATCTTCTCCCACTAAAAGCTCTGTTATATTAGGGACCTCTCCCCAACCTTGCATGTATTCCCTTCATCTAGAATAGTGTCTGGCCCAAAGAGGGTGCTCAATAAATACTTGTTTAAAGAAGAAATAAATTTGTCATCAGAACTTCAAAATTATCATGCACTATAGTTGAAGTTCTATAAACTCATCTGGAATCATGACACAACCCCATAACACAAGGGTCACAAGGCTCTAAAGTGGACACAATTATTTTGTGGGGAAAAAAAAGTGTGTGTGTGTTTTTATCTGTTTGGACAAGTTTCAACATACATAGTAGGTATAAATCAATAAAACTGTTTTAATAATATCATAAACTTATAGAAGCCATGGAATGTGACTCATTCAATGTTAAGTATATAAATAAGAAATCCTGAGATTTCAGATTTCAGACCCTACACCTAGCTTACTAAAATAATTTATTCATGTATTCATGTGAAAAATATATATGATCAGTATGGTTCTAAGTGAGATTCTATATTTGATTTTTCTTTTGAAAAAAATCAACTTTACAATTTATTATGAAAGCCACAGTTTATAATTAGATGGGGAAAGTTAATCTTTTTTAGAAATATTTATCTTTTTCCCCATTATTTTATTATAAGCCTTATTCATTTAACTCAGATTCCTCAGAGAAAATATGCATATGAAATTTTTCAAGTGCAGTCTTTTATTCAGATTATTTTAAAGGTAACATTTTCCTCCCTGAGTTTAAGGAAAGGAGGGAACCTCTGAATGTAGCAACATTAAATACTATTACAAAAACTACCTAAGTAATTGTCAAACCCTAATTATATAGCACTAATTGGTTCTACTACAAATTCATGCTCTTCAAACACAAGCAGTCTTCATAGCTGCCTGATAATCTTTTAATCACCCCAATGGATTCACTGCTAAATTTCCACAATGCACACAAGTCTTTGTCATTCTACTCCTAGCCTCAACCTGCCACATCTTTTCTGATGTTCCTTAAAAGACTATGGACAAATTCCTTTCTTTCCACCTCAAAATTCCTCTGCCTCTGTCTCAAGTCATACCTTCCCCAGTACCCTCCTGCCCACCTTCTCGAAGACTTCATCAGTTGAGCCTCCCCGTTACATTCTCCATCTCTCTCCCTCTCAGCGATTCTTCTCCTGAGCTTATACAGTAGGTTCGAGTCCTCTATACTAAACGTATTCCTTTCCCTCTACTGTGACATCTCTTTGACTTATTACTCTCTCCTCCAGTCTTCCTTTCCACCAGGTTTATTGAAAAGGAAGTCTGTTTCCACTGATTGCCATTCTCTCCATTACTTGTTCCTCTCAGGATAAAAAGGCCTGATTTCCCCCATGGGACCATAGTTTATTCCTTTTGGCCCCACAGGTCAATTTTCAAATGTCTTACTTCCATGTCTTCTGGGGAAGGAAAAAAAAAACCAAACTTTTTAAAAAAGAGACTCAATAATGAAAATAGCATTAATGCTATTTTAAGTGAAGAAAGGGCATCCACGCAAAACAAATACCTTGCTGCAGGCTATGGCACAAGGTATAACCGTTTACCAGGCTGAATTACAGATTCGAGCTATATCATTAGCCTTACCAGCCCAATCTTTAAAAAAGCCAGGCATTACATTTTAAAAATTATCCCATTTACATTAGAAAGGAAATCACTAATTTCCACGTCATTAATCATGCTGTTGTATAATTCCTTGTTTGCTAAACAGGTTATTTACCTTGGTAATTTCTAAATTCTTAAACTTTCTTATAATGCGGTTACATCTCTGGTTTTACTTGCAAATATGAAAATGATGACTTTTTTTTAAACCAAAACCTCTTAGAATGATTTTAAATTTCATAAGTACTTTTCTCAGAAAGAGGTTTGGCAGAAACAATAAGAGAGTAAAGAACTAAGACTCAAAATTCATTTTTATAAATCTATCCTTAATTTTGGATGAGATCCAACAACCTCACATTAAAATTTTAGAAGGCTTGACTTGAAGGACATGGGAAGATTTACTTAATGTTGATGGCTTCCAGAGCACCTGGTCTATATATCATCATTAATTAAGAGAAGATAAATGGGGGAGTAAACATATGTGGATAGCTCTAGTTTTATTATTTTCAATGTAACAATGAATTCATGCAATATTTGCCAAAAAACAAACAGCAATTTTTTTAAAGAAACCTTGGTGCCAACGTGTTGTGCATTTATTTTTAAAGACCACGATGGCTACAAGCTTTCTTCAAAGAGAACCAGAGCAGCCAGTTTAGATTCTGACAGCAATGCAGTAGAATTTAGGGTGTTATGACCAAAATGTGTCCTAAGCAGGTTAATCTAGTCATACAACATTTTAATAAAGAAGTACCAAGATATTAAGCACAAAGGTGCCTTCATTCCTACGAGTGCTGCAGGAGAAATACAGACAGCAAGGAGTCAAACTGCAGTGGACACACATGAATTTACCATCTCCCTTCCTATTTCTATCCATCCGACCCTACAGAAGCCTCTCTTTATCATGCAGAGACAATTAAAACAGCTATGGACTCTGTATGCATTTCTGTGTCCTGGCTTCCAGCCCCAGCCTGGAAGCCTGACATTTACTAAATTCCCTACTAGTGTGCTACATCAGGTAGAAAAGCAAGGACTTCACTGATCAGAGATCCCATCCCCACAGTCTTGAAAGATTACAATTCTTCAATGATACACGGTACTAACTAGCCATTGTGAAAGCTGGGAGAGTGAATGTTACCAGCAGTAGAAATAAAGTATCCCATTTCCCAAGGGAAACACCTTGGCTGTGTGATGTTCAGAAAGTGGACACCAAATATTTCTCAGTAGATCTTTCTCTTCCTTTTTACTCCTCCCCCATCTATCTCTCTCTACACACCTCCAGAGTTCATTCTAAAATAACCAACACAAAGACTACCCATCCTTCAGCCATAGGATTTCAGTGTTCAAATGTAGAAGGACAAGGTCTGGTTGGCATTCAAAGTTGTGAGGAAGGGGAGAGGAAGGTGATCTATAGTTAGAGACCCAGGTTAGACAAGAGATAAACAATAGAAACTGCAGAGTCAGGGAGTCCAAGACCCTTACAGAACAGCAGTTGAGGAGAGAAGTATCAAGAGAGAAACCCTTCAAAACAAGGGATACTAGCAAGCCCAGAATGTGTAACCATTATCCTCTTTCCCTACCATGTGCCCCAAAGCCACACGCTCACTTCCACATCCCCACGTCATGAGGCCAGAGAAAGGGGAAGATAGAATTCCTACTCTGGGCCATCCACACGCAAAAGCAGAACAGAGACTGTACTCAGAGTTGCAGGGTCAAAATAACAAACACTGTCCCACAGTGTTAGCTGGTGACATGAGGTTAGGCACCGGCAGATCTCTTGATTTGGGGCGCAATTTTAGGAGCGTGGATGCAACCACACGCGTACGCACACTTCCACGGGATTTTACAAACCCGCCTCTACCCCACTGCCTCCCTCAACACTTCGCACACCCAGTGCCTCCAGCCCACCTCACCGTTTCCATCATCACATTCTTTCTCCCCGAGAGTCAGCCCAGATATGAAGGATCCTAGTGGGGATTCCTGGAAATGTCATTCCCCAACACCTCTGGTCCACCACCCCCATACCCTCTGCTGTACTTACACACACACACACACACACACACACACACACACTCCTGCCATGATTGTCATCGGGCCCGCTCGCTGCCCCCAAAGCTCCGGTACCTCAGCGCGCACCGGACACCCGACATCTCTCTTCCAATGTCCCCTTCCCTCGCCTCGCTGGCTAAGGCATTGCCCCCTGGATGTAGCCTGCTGTCCCTGTTCATCCATACTATTGTTCCATGCAGCGCCTCTTGCGCCCAGAAGCGCCCTTAGGAGAGGACCAGGACTCCCATCTGGGGCGGCATCAGCGCCGAGCACCACCACGTACCCACCCCTCCCTGTCGGTGGTACCTTGCCTGACAGCTGGGTCCACGGGCCCGCGGGAGCAGTAGGCGCTAATGACAGCGATGGTGCGGAGCCTGGGAATAAAGCTCCGCTCCAGCCGCTCCTACCTCCAGCGCCACCATCTTCTCCTGCTGCTGCTGCCGCTGCCGCCGGCGCCGCCGCCGCCCTCGCCCAGCTCTGCTCCGGCTCCGCAGCAGCCACTCGGGCCCCTCCGGTCCGGCGGCCCCACCCCCTTCACCCCTCCCTCCCGCCCGGCCGCCCGCCTGCCTGCTTGCCCCTCGTGACGCGCGCCGGGGCCAGGCCGGGCCCGCCCGCGAGTGAGGGCGCGCGCACGCCGCGAGCTAGTAGCGCCCCTGCTTCCCACGCCCACCCGCGTGCACGCGCCGCGCGCGAGCCGGAGGCAGCGGCGCCAGTGTACTCCATGGGCTGCTGGTCGCCGCGCCGCAGCTTCTGCGCGGGTGGGCGCGTGGTGTGCCCCCGCCTCTAGCACCCGGGTTCCGGCGGGCGAAACATGCCTCAGCTATCAGCCGGGCTCCCAGAGGAGAAAATGGGCTGCGTTTCCGAGGGAACTGACAGGCACCTCCACCCGTCTCTGCAGCAGCCTAAGCGGGGAGGGCCAAGGTTCCTAACCAGCAGCTGTGGTCAAACTCTGCACGTAGGAAGTGACCACCCTGAGGACCACGAAGTCGGGCTTCAGCGCCGACTCCTACGGGAAGTTACTCCCGAGCTTTCCAGCTTCTCAGGTCCCTTAAAATACTGCCTGTACTTCAAAAAGGAGATAGACGCTGTCTCCGGAACGCACTGCATTGCACATTTTCCCCGCAAGGGGGAGAGTCGTGCGGATTTGGGCTCCAGCAAAGCTGGCCGGATTTGCAGCCCAGGAGGGGAACTGCCCAGTCCCACCAGGGAAAGCAGAAAGGCTCTGGATTATGCTGCCGGGAAAGGCTCAGCTTGATTTTCCTACTTGCTTCTCAGTTTTGGTCGATCAGAATTTAAAGTGTCTTTGAGCCTGGCACAGGCCTTCTGCCCCAGATATGGCTTCTAGATCAGGAGGGTGGGGACCCTTTGCAGCAGGGACCAGGTGGCAGGTGCTGCGCTTTAATGAAAAGCAGTGGGCTGGACAGGCCCCAGGAGGCAGGGGTTCTGGAGCCAGCTCCACCTGTAATTGGCGATGTATTAGCTTAATTCCCCCATTTCAGGAAAGAGTTCTCAATAATAATAAAGTTGTTTTGGCACGTAAACTTATATTGGCAAAGCCCTCTTCATACACGTATTCTTATCTATTAAAACAAAGATAACCCTTGATTATCCTGATCCTTTGGGAAATAGATCTTTTCCACACAGTGTTTCTACATTATTTTAAGCACAATGCCTCTGGAAAAATCGGGAGTGTAGCCAGAAACATTCTGGAAGTCTTGTTTAGCTTTAAATTTCATATGAATTTTGCACTCTGTTCCATAATAAATTTCTTTGCTTTAATAAATAAAACCATATCTCCGCCCTCCCTAAAAGGATCTTTTAGTAAAATGTAAATATTATATATACCAGGAAGCTGCAGCATGCTGGTCCTGTGACATTACCTATTCATTTTATTCAGTAAATATTTATTCAGCACATATAAAAGTCAGAAATGTCCTTGTTTCACCAGAGCTCACAGTATACTAGAGGAAATATCATCAAAGAATGAAACTAGTTAGGAGCGACTGTATAGTTTAGCATATTCTCCAATCTAATTGCTAAAGACGCACAGGGAAACCTAATCTAGTCACCAATACTAGGTAAGATTTTCTAAGGTGATGACATTTGGGATTGCACAGGAGAGGTAGCAGTGAAAAAGTGCAAGCAGGTGGGACCCAAGTAAGAGGAGGGTGGTGAAGCAGGCAGCTACCAGACCTGCTGGGACCTTGTGGTCCCTTTTATTTTATATATATATATATATATATATATATATATTAGTTGTAGTCGCACACAATACCTTTATCTTATTTATTTATCTTTATGTGGTGCTGAAGATCGAACCCAGCACCTTGCACATGCTAGGTGAGAGTTCTACCACTGAGCCACAACCCCAGCCCTGTGGTCCCTTTTAAATAGGATTTTTATCTCATTAGCCTAGAAAGCCACTGAAGGATTTTAAAAATTGGGATTGGGAAAACAGGATCACATTTCTGTTGCTGAAAGATTGCAGAGGTAATTATGTGAAGAGCTGGTTAGTGGAGGTTCAAGGTCCAGGGTGGGAAAACTGAGTCATGACTGCATTCCCTACTTAGTGTACTTGGCAGGGTTTTCTGAGTCTATACTAACTGCTCTGAAGTGGCACCTCCTTTTTCCACTGAAAAGTCTTAACTGGGTCTCTCCAGAAATCTTCACCCAGACTGATTTTAGGATTGTCAGCAAAAGAGTCTCTGCAAAAGAGTTCAATGTAGATAAACTTCCTATTTTCGTGTCGCCCTGTTTACTTGGCCACTGGCCGAGAAGATACCAGCACTCCAGGTGCTGGACACCCCCTTACTAGTTTTTCACAAACATATCCAGTATAGTACTTTGAAGAAATGTGCAAACAAGGCTCTGGCCTTGAGCTGGGCTTCACAGAGATGTCTACATTTTTAAGAATGTTACAAATGGGTCCCATGGTAACAGCTGGCAGGGGAGGAAAGAAAGGGGAGAAGAAACTCTCCCCTTCTCAGGTGTTGTCCTTGAAGGGTTAACTTGCCCAAAACAGAGAAAGAAAAAGCTGCTTTTATGTGAACTTCTGCAGACTGTGAACTTCTGAGCCCCTCCCCTTCCATGCTGGGTATAAAACTCTGAAACTCCCTGAACTCGGGGTTCATGGGATTAATTGATTACAGCAAAAGCTGTTCCCTCTGAACCTGGCTGCAGCCAAAAAAAAAACACAAAAAACTGTTTTCTGCTATCTTCAGTGCCTTGCCTTGTTTGTCCCTACAACAGCTCCTTTGTTTTAGTTCTCACCTCTACTTTCATACCTAGCCATTTTGGGGATGCATCTGTAATAGTTTCTCTATAATAGTTTCTATTTTAATACTTTTAAACCACTGTAGTTTTAAAGGGGAAATTAGCTAACCTTGTTAGAATTTTAGGTTATATAAGAGAATATAGGTCCCAAATGAGAGGTTCGTTTCCATGCATAAACTTGCCATTTGGTTTGCTAACTCAGAGATCATTCTGCTTATTTTCTATTCATTGTGCTGGGTTCCCAGCTAGACAAGGTTCCTAGATTCATGAGTGAGAGATACCTGTTACTTTAATAATACTGTATTCAAATCTTATATCATAGGGATTTTTTGGTGCAAATTAAATAAAGTATGTGAAATTACTCCACAAAGTATTATGTGCCATATAAAGGAAAATAATTGTTCTAATGGTAGTTTAAATGCTTCCAAAACTAATTAGTTATATTTGTATGTGGAAATCCCTCCCCCATAAAAAAACACAGATATCCCTATTCCTTCTTGACAATGTGAAACATTGTGTTAAGTGTCCCTGTTACTCTTTGTGCTTTGGCTAGCAGGAGACTCAAAGCCAAATTTGCAGATGATTGTAGGAACTGGGGTGGATCCATATGTTATGGCATTTATATCTATGTCTTACCATTCCTTGGTCTTATTCTACTCTATCTACAGATTTTCTAGGCTGCTTTATTAGTGTTTTTTCTACTTCATTATAGATACTCTCAGAAGGTACTTCAAATATTTGTATCTACCTATTCACATTAACAAGAATCAAAACTGATATTCAGTGTTTCAGAGGGTACCATATAAAATAATGGCAACCTGCCAGCTTTTCTAGTAGATAAAATATTATAGGCACCATGCTAAATGTATAGGGTCTAAATGAAAGCCTTGTTTGCCACTGCATGCAGATCTGAAGTCTCTGTGCATGCCAATTTAAAGCCACGGGTTATAGGCAAACTCAAGTATTTGGCTCATAGATATCTTTCTTTAAAATGATCCTTGAGGTCCCAAACTCCATCAGCCTGTCTTGTACCTGCAGCCTACAAGTATATCTTACTGGTTCAAGCACTGTTGATCACTGGGTAAGAGGACAACCATCCATGAATTTTTATTCATCTGTTTCTAATTCAAACACCATAAGAGTGTGGTCATATCTTTAAGCTTTTGAGATATATGTATATATTTCGTACCAGGGATTGAACCTAGGAATGCTTAACCACTGAGCAACATCCTCAGCCTATTTTATTTTTTATTTTGAGACAGGGTCTCACTAAGTTGCCTAGGCCTTTGCTAAGTGGCTGAGATTGGCTTTGAACTTGCAATCCTCCTGCCTTAGCCTCCTGAGCTGCTAGGATTACAGGCATGCACCACCATGCCCAGCTCTGATATGGTTTTGAACAGGCAAAATTCTATGTACCTATTCTGATAGCAGTAGATTCCTTCCTTCCTTTGAGTTCTTTAGTGATTACCTTCATTCCATCTCAGTCTTTCATTTCAAGTCTTATGACGTGAGATTATATGAATGAAAAACACACAATGACCTTTGGTGATGGGATTTTTCTTGACTTAGGTTTTTCTAATAATTGATAGCCAAGCATTCTTTCTAATGTACAATATAACCAGGATTTTAAAAGTATGAATGAAATAGACAATGTTTCCTAAACGCCAATAAATTTGCTTTTGTATGCCATTTCTTATTTCACTGGCTTTTACTCTGGACATAACTTCTGTTCAGGCTACAACAGGTTCCCTTCTTTTCTTTTCTGCTCCCAGAACAGGTCAGAATCCCTCTCTTCTTTTCCTGAATCACATGCATTGTGCCCTTTAATAATTCCAACTAGAATTTTGCACTATCACTGTGTTTATCTGATACACTGAAAGACACCCGATGCTACATACAGTTAAGTCTACCCCTGAAAGTGAAGTTTTTGAGTGAAGAGTGTCATTGAACATACTGCCTTAAAAAAAAAAAAAATGTTTGTGTCCTTACATGAACCATCCTCCATGGCCAAGGGCATGATTTACACTGACTAACTTAAGCCAATCAACTCCTAATCCTGGAACAGAATCATTTCTCCCCAAACTACATGGCTGACTGAAGATAGAGCAAGAACAAGACATGTATGCCATAAAAAAGGGAAAAGGGACAGAGGGAACAAAACATCTATTGTTCTGCTCATCTCAGGCT